CCGCGAAATGGCCAAAACGCAAGACAAACCTACTCGCTGAAGGCCTTCGGAACGCTCGGAGCCCAGTCGAATCCTCCTGCCCAAACGATCGCAGCGCCGCCGCGTACATCCGGGACCTTTCCGTGTCGGCGCCTGATCCCACTACTCCTTTCTAGTATGCGCCGCCTTTTCCACCGATTGGTGGCGGGAATGTAGACGGGTCATTTCCTCTTTCCGTACCTTCTAAACTGCATTCGTTTCTTTTTTGATCAAAAATACTGAACAAAAACTACTTTTATAAATAAGTGGAACGGTTCGCGCCACTTATATTTTGTGTTCCGTCTAAAAAAAAGCTTTTAGCGGCTCTGACTAGTAGTAAGCCCAGGACCAAAGACGTCACATTTTGCGCGCTTTCGGTACCGTGGGTCGCCCTCGTCGGTGGAGGAGGTTTCCGCGTCGTCCGGTTAAAATATGGCACACTGATATTTAGCTACTCTTTCCGTGCCCGCTGGCTTGCCCGAACCCCAAGAGACGTGGAAACCGCGAAAAAGGTGGACGCTTAAATATGATTGCAGGGCCCCTTTAATTGCTTTACAAGTTTTTTTATATATATATATATTTCTTTTTTTACGGGTGAAGGCATTTGGGGGTAAATTGATTTTCTATATACAAACCTATATCTCTAGCATACACATAATTATTAGTTTCAAGGTGCTCTATTAATTCTTCTTCTTGATTTCTAGTAAGTTTACTACAATTACCACCATTTTCCGACTTCAGCGCGAAGACTGTGTTGAAAGCTCGCAGTTGCAGGGTCAGATCGTAATCGCCAACGCCTGAAATCACACCGACTTTGCAGCATAGAGTTATTATAACGCACGCTAGCAGTTGTTCTGCTGCAAATTGAAGCAGACAGCAACGAGTCGAAAACTGACTTCCGGTAATGCATTTCTATGGGAAAAAGTGAGTGCATTTTCTCTCTGCGCTCGATTATAAGAGCAAACATCCCGAATAATTCGTACGTACTATGTAGAGCTTGGAACATTTCTCACTCAGGCAGACGAAATAATATGTCAGTTACGACGTTTTTCTTTCAAATTAATTGCGTTAAAAACGATGCTAAAACGGCTTCGTACATATATTTATCTGCACTACCGGACACGGTTAGCGCGAACACGACGTCGGCGCTATTCAGCATAGGGGATATTCGTGCCAAACGAACGAAGGACGTCTAGAAAACTACGACGGCAAGAACTACGCAGTAGCAGTAGATCAGTAACTCCCTCCTCATGTACGATCAAAATATATTGAAGGCCAGGTAATATGGTCAAATTTTCAATAAGTAATACTGCTCTTGTTCTACGTTCAAAACATCACCCGCACGCTCGAAACCTTTGATAACAAGTGCCCAATGAAGACTGCCCGGCAGAGAAAATATTAGAAGACGCCTTTCATACCCTACATACTTTGTTCTTTACGTGTTGAATGCTTTTAACCGCTCATAAAGATGCAAGAAGGGGTCATTCTCATATAGCGACAAGACTGGCATATTAGCAATATATAAGCGTCACCGGAATGCTGGCGAGCCTTCGATATACTCTATATTCCTTTCGATTGTTATTTTGCTTAGAATCATCGCTTGTTTTTACACACCTGCTATGGAACAGAGGTTTGGACCTGAAATATAGCGAAGTTAAACATCGTTCACTGATGAAGAAAAATGAGCTCACTAAAGCAATCCGTACGACCCAAATAACAAAAGTGTTCCATGCCATTTCCCGGCGAAAAGGCAAAATGCACGCGCGTTTTCCCATGGGAATGCACAGGAGCACCGCAAAAGCAGACTAATTGCTGTCTGCTTCAATTTGCTTCCCGGAAGTCGCATAGACACTAGCGCCAGTTGCACCTCTAGCGTAGACTATAATAACTCTATGCCTTGCAGGACCGCGCTTTTTTTCTACGAGCGCAATTTACGTTCGTTTTGGTTTCGCCATTATTTAACCGCACTTTCCTGGAACTCCGGAATGCGACTGACGAAATTCGAGGTAAGTGTAGCAATATCAAAAGCAGGAACGTTTGTATAGTACTATGAAATGGGACTTAAGCAAGAGCGGGCATACAAACATTAAATGAGAGGGACTGTAAAGATATGCGGATACTCAGATATTCGGTGAAGGCGTTGCCTTGTACCTCCCTCTGCTATATATATCCTTATTAGGTTGTATTTCCTAATACTTTAGTGTTTTTAAAATTTGTTTTACCAAACGTAATACCTCACGTGGGTCTTGGAAGCAAATGATAAATGAAAAATATGAAACCTAAACTTAATGACGACGGACGCTGGAAACTCACCTTCTCAGAACTTCCTTGAATTGCGCGTATTTCAGAACGTGTTTCTGCGTTCGTTTTTGTTCATTTATTATTTTATTTATTATATATATAACGTGCCTTTTGTATGAAATTGCAGAAAATAAAGGGGGGGGGGGGGGGGGGAGGCAACGCATTGCAACATTAACATAACAAAAACGCGCGAACGAAACAGAAAAAGTCATTAAGCGTTGTTTAACAGCAACGCAAACTCAGGCACATGTACGTAAACACCTAAAGACGGAAAGAGAGATAATCGAACTTTTGTAATCTTCACATGAGTGGAATGGCGGTTGCCCGAGAATGCTGGTTCTTGTAGCGAGGCAGGACAATTTGTTCCTTCATTGAGCGAGCTCCTCGGGCTTTGGAGTGTAAATGATCAGTATATGTGCCTGAATGGGCGTACTTTTAGTGTGTGTACCATTGTTTTAACACAGAATGTGTTAGAAACAACGGTACACTATCGATCGTTTTCTATAATAAAATCGTCACGAATGAGCGTTATACACGACCCCCTAGGGTTATATACTTATATAAAATTAAAAATAAAATAAAAATAAACAATAAAAAAAAAGATATTACAAATGAAAAAAAACATAAATAAAACAAAAAATAAGCGTGTGGGGTTTCGTGCGGGACAATTTTGCGCTCTAGGGTCTTTGTCAACTTGATCAAGCTTGCGTGATTTATTTGTTTGTTTGAATTTTTTTTACTGATAAGTACTAATAATATGTCCAAATAAATAGATAAATAAATAAATAAGAGCGAATAACACTGTGGTAAATTGCAAACAAAAGAACACAAAGATCTTGTTGTTGTTGTTTTTTTCTGTTGGACTCTTTATTGTCATGGGACATAAAGTAAGTGCGCAAAAAAGCGGATACAAGTTTAACGTAATTATGAACAACCCCGAGACTGGGATAAAACAGAAGACAGAACTTCGTATTTGTGATGTCCCTTATTTCAACCCAGTCCTAGAGATTTTCTTTTTTTTTTTCTTTTAAATTTTGGTATGGCCGTTGTTGTGCCGTTGTTTCCGTTTTCATGCTGTTTTCTACGTTGGCGTGTCACCAGAATATGCAATGCCGTAATTTGTTTCGTGCTTTACATTTTTTTTTCATTTTGTCCTTTTATTGAACAAGTTTAGAAAAACCGGTTCGCCAGGGGCAACTGGGTTGCTCGACCAGCAGGTGATCGCCAAGGAAACTTTGAGAGAGGCATCGGTCGTTATCCGTAACGCTGCAGCTGCTGTATACACGCCGACCTTCGATAAACTCGAGACTACGTAAAACGCTCTAAAAAAAAATAAAAAAAAAAATCTCGCGGTCAAAATCCAAGAGCATATGCTCAGGGTCAGGAGTCTTTAAAGTGTACTTGAGTGTTTTCTAAGCGTACACATTCAAGTACGCCGAGCTGAGATGAAGGAGTGCGATTTCGGTCAACGGCACAACAGGTCGCGCATAAGGACGGAATTCGAATGTCAGGTTTTCAAACTTGAATCAGTCTCGAATTGAATGGCACTGGCATCTCAACGATCGTGCTAAGGTGCAAGCGGTGGGGCGAAATCTACGTCGGCACCTCATGCCCTCTGAACGATCTGTGTAAAGGCAAACTCCAAGAGTGATAAAAAAAAAAAAAAGATGTTATTTTACTAACTATTTATTCTGGTGTTTTTGGAGACTTCGAGTTCAACGTTCCAAGAATGTTATATTCGGAATATCTGCGAAAGGCGTTCGGGTTGTAACGTCCGGAACTTTGTTTTCTTTTTTTCTGGAATGTAAGATTATAGAAGCGTGAAATACTCCTTAGAATATGGGTAATTTATTGGGTACGAGTGAGAGACGCAGCAACGTCGTCAAGGTCATGATGCTTCGGGCCCATTAAGCAGATCGACGTTCTTTTTCCTGCGTTTCTTTATTTTTTTTTTATTTCTTCCACCAAGTTTTCTACATTTTACCGCAATCTCGGGTAACTTCCAACATGATACTGGTCTTCCTTTTTATTGGCTAAACCGATGAAAGAAGGAAAGCGAATGTTATTTCGAGTTCATTGCGCGGCAGTATGTGTGTGCAGCGGGAGCTTCTGAGAGCACACAGCAAGTCAATGCGGAGCGCTAGTTCGTCTGCTTATTTTGCACGGGTTGTAATGACATCAGAACGCCGAGCTCTGATTGGCTCAGACTGAAGTATATTGGGTAGACCTCAAAGCAAGCTGTCTTGAGATCTACCCACTGTCCCTCTATCAGAGCCATTCAGAGCTCGGCGTTCTGACGTCATTACAACCCCTGTAAAAGAAGCAGACGAACTTGCGCTTTGCATAGAAATCTCCAAACAAGTTTTTCATGCGTTTAAATTTTTTTGTGCGTGTTCAACTTAAGCCGCGGCCAGACAGCTAACTTATACATCACACAAAAGACAGACTTCAGACAAAGCCCGAGAAGCGTCCTTTCCTTGTATTACTGTCACATCGGTCATGCAGAAACCGTCTGCAGACATGTTCGGAGCATGTATGAAGCAGACATGCTTCAAAGATGCTTGAGGCGAGCCCGCAGATAATTCTGCCGTCACGTCTGCAGCGAACAGCGTATCTTCTGTATGATGTATATGATCAGCAGTGTGGCAAAAATCAAACTCCCGTCCTTATTCCACACGCAGATTCCTGAGGTACCTGTTCTCTGGTAGCTCGGCGCCTCCCAGCAGACTCCACGACGTCCTGCTCAACTTCTCCGTGGACCTTCATCGCCATCAACTACAGCTCCGCGATGGCGGTTCCGCAGACGGCAACGTCTTCACGTCACCCTTCGCCATCGCCCTCGCCCTGGCCGCCACGCACGCTGGAAGTCGTTCTGAGACCGCGTCCCAGCTCGCCCAAGTCCTCCACCTCCAGGATGACCTCATCGACGACGTCCGCAAGGAGTTCGCGGACATGGTGCTCCACCTGGCCGACGCGGCGCCGGACGTCAAAGTACACCTGGCCAACGGCGTCGCCGTCGACCGCGGCGTTCGTACTTCGGCAGACTTCAAAGACCTCCTGGAAAGCGGATACGACGGATCCGTGAAAGAACTGGACCTGCGCAAGAATCCTCAGCGATCCCGCACCGAACTAAACTCGTGGGTCGAAGAGAAGACAAAGTTTCAGGTGGCCGACACGCTTCCACTCGGGGTCGTGACGCCGAGCACGTCGGTCCTCCTGGTGAACGCCATGTACCTAAAGGGCCAGTGGGACTCTGACTTCAAGTCGGATTATACCTCGCGCAAGCCATTCCGCGAAACGAGGGACAAGACAAGCATGGTGGAGATGATGTTCCAAAGGAAAAACTACAAGACGGCATTCTGCAAGACGCTGGACGTGAACGCGCTAGAGATACCCTACTTCGGCAAGAAGGTGTCCATGGTCATCCTCCTGCCTCAGAAGGTGGACGGTCTGGCCACGCTGGAAGCGAACCTGACCGCGACCAACCTGCAAGCGCTACTGCGGCGGCTCTGCGAAGACGATGACGTCGAGTTGAACCTGCCAAAGTTTAAGTTGGAACAGTCTTCCAGCCTCCGAAAGGTCCTGGAGTCGATGGGGGCCCAGGATCTATTCACGGACCGCGCCGATCTTGCGGGCTTCACCGACTCGAAGGGCGTCAGGGTGTCTGAGGTGGTGCACAAGGCCGTCCTGGAGATCGGCGAAGAAGGTGCCGAGGGTGTGTTCGCGACGCCCGTCATCATGATGTGCTACGGCGGCGCCAGCTTCAACTTCAACGTGGACCATCCGTTCATGTTCCTCATCCGGAGCTGCAATCCGGACGTGATTCTGTTTATGGGTTCGGTGCGTCACCTATAGGATGCTTCTTTTTTTTTCCGAACGCGGCCAGTCACGACAAAAGCAGGACGGTCAGTTATACCAACACCACCTAGAAGACAAGGCCTCTCCGCCGCTCCCTCCAGACGTCATCGCTAGTGGCTTCACACAACGTGGCGTACCTTGCGTCAGCGTTGCCGCAAACGCGTCTCAAAGCGTCTCACAACGAGTGCAACGCCAGCAAGCGACGAAAATCGCCGCTTTGCGGCGATTCTCGTCGAACCTCAGCGTGTTTGCCGCGTGTGTGAACGGTCGGGGGTCCACTAACGATGACTTCACGCGCAGGTCTTTTCTCCTAGGTGGTGTTGTTTATACGCGTAGAGCTGTGGAAGGCACTCCTCGGACTGGCTAGCACGTGCCCAGCATTACAGTGTATCTCTGAAGAGCGACCCGGCGAATGCCGATGTAGAACCGCCGCAACGAAACTGTGTACATTAAAAATTTACAGGGAAGTTAAATAACCCCAGCAACGTTGAGACTGCCCTCGTTTTTCTTTTTTAACGCAAGATATCGCGGATTTTTTGTTGTGTCGATGCCAGGACAGCTATTTTCGTCGTGCGATCGAGTCAGAGTCCGTGAAGCTGGCTTCAAGGACAGGTGACCAGACGGACGGTTAATTTGATCTCGTGTTTCGTAGTACCTTATTTCCTACTGGCCGCCGAATCACGTTCAAGGGAAGCTTATAAAAAAAACGCATGGCAGTCGCCTCCGGGCACGTTCTGGAGCCGTGCTCCAGTTGCGCAGTGCTTAAAAAAAACAGCTGAAGATAGGAGATGCATACCAAATTGTTGCGTCTGTTTCCTGGTCGGGTGGGTTATCTAGAGTGACTCTCAATTATCATGAACTGGCCGGTTCCCACGTGCAGCTTTCCAGGGTACCGACTACCAAGGTCTAAGGCTCCAAGCGTGGGACCTTTCCTGGAATCCTTTCCCTCCAGCTGCTTCTGCAAAAGTCACTGCTGTTAATTATCCTCCACGCGCGCCATCCCTTCTGTTTTCTTTTAGTCTTGAAAGAGGAACGCGACAGGCGCTACCAACAATGGAGCCAGTTTGAGGCTTGTAAAGACACGGCCACTGAAGTAGAAGTCCAGCGGCGGTGATATACATACACTTATTCATATATAGTGAAACGCGTTTAGAACGAACCCACGTACAGCGAATTATTGTCGATATCAAACTCAGAAAAAATTTAAATAAAAATGCATGTAAAAAGCACTACATATTGGCTATATCGAACTACCCCCCCCCCCCCCCCCCCCCCGGGAACGCTTCCAAAAACGTGCAAACAATCGTCTTCTAGCCTGTCCCTCCCTCCCCCCCCCCCCCCCCCCCCAAAAAAAAAAATAGGAAAGAACGAAAATTTCAAAAGCTCAAGTTGCCAACAAAATTGAGCGAAGAGACGCGATTCAGAAGGGGAAAAAGCTAAAAAAAAAAACAACACTGCACGCTACGCGCAGAAAAACAAAACAAAAAAACTTTTAATCCTAAAGCGGTTGCCCATGGAGAGAAGCGATTAAAAGAAAAAGAAAGAAATTAGCTAAAAAAAACTCCGCACGCAAGCATTATATATATATATATATATATATATATATATATATATATATATATATATATATATATATATATATATATATATATATTAGCGCGTTGTTACACAGCAGAAGTGAAGAGACGAGAAGGATAAGCTCTCGCCTTACAACGAACGGAACATGGAAGTTCGTTGCAAATGGTTTTTACTATATCGAACGGATCGTAACGTTTCCTGCTGTCCGTTATAAACGAGTTTGACTGTATTATCTCTTAAAGAGATACGGAATCGAAACATAAAATAGACGGAAAACATTGAGAAATAAGTCCGATAGGATCAATGGTGTCTGTGAATGATAACCGCAAGCTTGTATTTTGAGCGGATGGCTATATTTTTCGTTCCTTACGTATGCTGGATTTGGGCGAGCGTTTCAAAATCATCAAAGAGCTCACTGTGCGTCTCGGGAGATCCGGCGCGCGAGTGACGTCATTGTATCTGGCAGGGCCAAGCGTACCGTATAGTTATGAGCCTTGTCACTTGGTGGCGCCAACGCGTTACAACCTCCTCTGACAACCTCGCTTTGTGGAGGTACCTGAGGAGTGAGGACTGAACGACCGCATCTTCACCGGCACCGGCGCGTTCGTGGAGCGCCCGCGCTGCAGGCTGCCTGCGGTCGTGCGTGTAGAATACCACGTCAACATGACTATTACATCGGTCATACGCCGGCGCCTGTTCGCTTACAGCGAGATCGCAGTCAAGCGATGCGGTTAATTATTCGGTCAAGCCATGCCGTTGTTTGGTCCACACCATAGCATCTTTGTGCTATTTGCAAAGTCCTCACTACAAGCGTGAATGCCGCACAAGTGTGTGATTCGACAGACGAGCGACACGAGCAGCTTCGGTAGTTCCTCCTTGTTTGCAAACTGGTGGACCAGCCATCCGGCGCCTCAGGATAGTCGGTGCCTCTCGCACTACACGCACAAAATGATCGCGAACATATGATCCGTCCAACGAAGCAAACGATTTCTTCGAAAGGGACGACTTCCCGGTAGTCAACTTTGGCAACACTGGAACGGCTCTACGAAGCTAGCCGACGCAGCCCAGCGTGGCCTACTCAACGGTGGCATTTTTCGCCAATCTCGCGTTCTTGTACAGGCCTGATTCGCATACACTATAGTCCACCGTACTCTTGCGGCGCGGCGCTGCTCTTAGGGGGGAGCCAGAGCCGTTTGTACTGAGAGAGTTTGGCCTTCTTAAGAAGATTTTGACAGCCTGGCAACCAGAGCAGCATAGCCTGACAACCGGCAGATGACTACTTCCGTTCGCCATTTTGGGGCTCTGACTCATGGGAACTCTATGCGATTTCTCAGGAATAGGGAAGACAAAGAAGTAACGCCATTTTGTGTTATCGCGAAATCCGCTGGTTCTAGCGGGCAACAAACTCCGCCCATTGGCCAAACTCTCTCAGTATAAGCGGGTCTGGGGGGAGCCAGAGTTGCGCGTTCATCCCTGTAGAGCAGTCTTTCCTGCACGGCATAGTGATCCTGCTCCTCACGTGACTGAATTCGGCGAATAGCGGCGCCGCGCGTTCGAGGCGCACGGCCCACTCAAAAGCAGGGGAATGTACGCCGGGGCGCGTGCAACGTCTACTTTCCTGCGCGGATTTTGATCCGGCTCCTCACGTGATCGGAACTCGGCGAATAGCGGCGCGGTGGCACGTGGAAAACAGAGGGTCCATATTACATGAGCGAATGACGTTTTAGCGAACAGCGACATTTGAGCGAATCGACGTTTTAGCGAATAAGGGGGGCGCGCGTTCGTTAACCCATCCGCCGCGCTGCGTTTTACGCCGCTTCGCGACGACAGTCTGCGGCGGCTCATTACAAAAATGTGAACCGACTTGGCCCACCCTAAACCGCCACTTCGCGGCGTCCGACTATTCGCTAAAGTGTCGTTCGGTGAAACGTGGGCGTTCGCTAAAACGTCATTCGATCAAGTGAGTGCCTCCCAAAACAGATACGCGACCCTGACTCCCGAGGGAGCCTCTACAGGAACTCTAGGGTCAAATTACGAAAGGACCCTCCAACGAAGTTTTAGGTGCATGCGCCAGGTGAAATTTGTTAATCGTTTCATTCAATCTAAATAACATAAATGATTTTTTTTTTTTCTTTTTTTTTTTTTAGAAAAGGATGGTGTTGCGGTTTAGAGGTGGGAGGAGGGGTAATAAGGAACGTCATCACATATTTGACGACCGAAGCCCGCCTCGCGTGCACACTTCTAGAGGCAGCTGCGCAGCGTGTCGCAATCGTCGTCGGCGGGGGTGGTGGTCCATTCCTGCAGTGACGTGATGCGAGGCTAGAGGTAGCGGTTCTTCAGTTCATGAAAGCTAGGGCGTGACTGGGGCCACTAAGTGAGCTTATTTAGTGGCACATAGGTGTGACCACATATCATGTGTTCCACGGTCGGGCGGGCCCCTGTCGAGCACGTCGGGCACGTGACGGTTTGGGGTGCTTCGGTTCTAATTCGTTTTACAATATCTTTTCTCGTGTTTTCCTACGAACAGCTGGTGTTTGTGAGGTCTTCGTGCTCGATAGGTCAAATTTCGTTTCCGTACCCCTTTAAAAGACCCACTGGGGGCATTACTTAAAGAAGAGGGAAAGGGAGGGGGAGGGGGGCAGTACAAGAATGAATATTGGAACATTGGCATAGAAGCAAACCATTCCAAAATTCAGAAAAAAAGGGGGCATATGTAAAAAGATTGCCATACACAAATGCATGAACAAATAATCAAAGGTAATCAAAATTGTTCCGAGTGTAGGCCAAGCTGCGGCCATGTTTGAGAGCATGACTGATAACAAAATAATATGAGATGATACAGCATCTCTAAACACATATGGGCCACACTTTAATACTATGTCCATCTTGCAGGTCCTTCCATTCTGTTATGGTAAGGGGAAGAAATGAATCGTTAAAAGCGGGGCACGCGGCCGCCAATCACGTCTCTGCTCTCTCCCCCCCCCCCCCCCATCTTATTCACAACGCTTACACACACACACACAAGCTTAACCTGCAGGCGCATGCTGCTTGCACGCATGGATAGCCCAGGGCACCAGCCGGCTACAGATTTTTTTAATTTTTTTTGCAAACTTTGTTAGCATGTTTACGCGGTCAAAAAAAAAAAGAAAAGAATGTGGAGGGACGCCAGTGCTCAACGGAACACTGAAGACAACTTCTACACTCTCGGAAATTTAGAGCGTCCGTCTCCCCGCCGCAAAAAAAAAAAAAAAAAAAAAAAACTTGGCAGAGTTAATCTTTGCCATCTGCGGAGGGGGCGAATGCCGAGGCTGATAATAGAGAGTTTTACTATAGATGGTGTTTTAAGGCCACGCTATTAGTAGCGGGAGCTCGTGCTGCCCCTTTGATGCATGCTCTGAAACGCGCTCCCGTAGCGGTTGGCGGCCCTTTGAAACGATCTACTAAAACTCCCGAATCGAAAGTTTTAGTATACACCAACTCATGTTTACAAACAAACCGGAGCGCCCCTAGCGGACGCCACCGGCGCCGCGCATGCGCGGTGGATGGTGGGCAAGAAGCCCGCCGTCGCCCATAAACAAACGATTGAATTGCGTTGTTGTCGGCGTCGGTGGGAGTCCCCGTGCTCTTTTTCGCGTTGGAATTGTTGATTCTACGTCCTCCTAACAATGTCTGACTACTTGTGCGGCTTCAGCAAAACTAACGAGGCAAAACTTTGCGTGAATAATGTGACGTGCGGCGATTCATTTCACGTGGACGCCGCAGAATGGGCGCTAAACTTGACTCCCACGATGAGATTCTGCTCGCTATTTTTAGTCGCGACGCCGCTCGGACTGCAAAAGCGTAGACCGTAGCTGAGATGGTGGACGTCGATACTGAAAACCGCAAGTAGAATCGGGCATTACAAGTCGGTGATGGCCACTGGTAACAATGATCAACATCTTGTATCTGTTTACACTTAGCCTACTTACCCCAACCAACCTTCAAAAGTGTTTTGAGGCCGGCACTTAGTTCTTTGACAACGTTTGGTTTACGGGCCGCTGTCGTTTGAACGAGCTGACGACAAAAAGCAGCCAAGCTTGAAAGAGCAGACGACAGTTCGAACGCATGCGCAATGGAGTACGGGCAAGAAGCACCGCTTCCCGCGTCAACAAACCATTCGAATGTCACCTTGTAAACGTTTGTG